AAATGGAGAGATGTTGACTACCTCGCCTGGTCTACAGGAGGTCGTGGGTTCGACACTGACAATGGGGAGATGTTGACTACCTCGCCTGGTCTACAGGAGGTCGTGGGTTCCATCCTGACAATGGGGAGATGTTGACTACCTCGCCTGATCTACAGGAGGTCGTGGGTTGGACCCTGACAATGGAGAGATGTTGACTACCTCGCCTGGTATACAGGAGGTCGTGGGTTCCATCCTGACAATGGGGAGATGTTGACTACCTCGCCTGGTCTACAGGAGGTCGTGGGTTCCATCCTGACAATGGAGAGATGTTGACTACCTCGCCTGGTCTACAGGAGGTCGTGGGTTCCATCCTGACAATGGGGAGATGTTGACTACCTCGCCTGGCCTACAGGAGGTCGTGGGTTGGACCCTGACAATGTGGAGATGTTGACTACCTCGCCCGGCCTACAGGAGGTCGTGGGTTGGACCCTGACAATGGGGAGATGTTGACTACCTCGCCTGGTCTACAGGAGGTCGTGGGTTCCATCCTGACAATGTGGAGATGTTGACTACCTCGCCTGGTATACAGGAGGTCGTGGGTTGGACCCTGACAATGGAGAGATGTTGACTACCTCGCCTAGTCTACAGGAGGTCGTGGGTTCGACACTGACAATGGAGAGATGTTGACTACCTCGCCTGGTCTACAGGAGGTCGTGGGTTCCATCCTGACAATGTGGAGATGTTGACTACCTCGCCTGGTATACAGGAGGTCGTGGGTTCCATCCTGACAATGTGGAGATGTTGACTACCTCGCCTGGTCTACAGGAGGTCGTGGGTTGGACCCTGACAATGGGGAGATGTTGACTACCTCGCCTGGTCTACAAGAGGTCGTGGGTTCCATCCTGACAATGGGGAGATGTTGACTACCTCGCCTGGTCTACAGGAGGTCGTGGGTTGGACCCTGACAATGGGGAGATGTTGACTACCTCGCCTGGTCTACAGGAGGTCGTGGGTTCCATCCTGACAATGGGGAGATGTTGACTACCTCGCCTGGTCTACAAGAGGTCGTGGGTTCCATCCTGACAATGGGGAGATGTTGACTACCTCGCCTGGTCTACAGGAGGTCGTGGGTTGGACCCTGACAATGGAGAGATGTTGACTACCTCGCCTGGTATACAGGAGGTCGTGGGTTCCATCCTGACAATGGGGAGATGTTGACTACCTCGCCTGGTCTACAGGAGGTCGTGGGTTCCATCCTGACAATGGAGAGATGTTGACTACCTCGCCTGGTCTACAGGAGGGCGTGGGTTGGACCCTGACAATGGGGAGATGTTGACTACCTCGCCTGGTATACAGGAGGTCGTGGACCCTGACAATGGGGAGATGTTGACTACCTCTCCTGGTACACAGGAGGTCGTGGACCCTGACAATGGAGATATGTTGACTACCTCGCCTGGTCTACAGGAGGTCGTGGGTTGGACCCTGACAATGGAGAGATGTTGACTACCTCGCCTGGTCTACAGGAGGTCGTGGGTTCCATCCTGACAATGGAGAGATGTTGACTACCTCGCGTGGTCTACAGGAGGTCGTGGACCCTGACAATGGGGAGATGTTGACTACCTCGCTTGGCCTACAGGAGGTCGTGGACCCTGACAATGGGGAGATGTTGACTACCTCGCCTGGTCTACAGGAGGTCGTGGGTTGGACCCTGACAATGGAGAGATGTTGACTACCTCGCCTGGTCTACAGGAGGTCGTGGGTTCGATCCTGACAATGGGGATATGTTGACTACCTCGCCTGGTCTACAGGAGGTCGTGGGTTCCATCCTGACAATGGGGAGATGTTGACTACCTCGCCTGGTCTACAGGAGGTCGTGGACCCTGACAATGGGGAGATGTTGACTACCTCGCCTGGTCTACAGGAGGTCGTGGGTTCCATCCTGACAATGGGGATATGTTGACTACCTCGCCTGGTATACAGGAGGTCGTGGGTTGGACACTGACAATGGGGAGATGTTGACTACCTCGCCTGGTCTACAGGAGGTCGTGGGTTCCATCCTGACAATGGAGAGATGTTGACTACCTCGCCTGGTATACAGGAGGTCGTGGACCCTGACAATGGGGAGATGTTGACTACCTCGCCTGGCATACAGGAGGTCGTGGGTTGGATCCTGACAATGGAGAGATGTTGACTACCTCGCCTGGTCTACAGGAGGTCGTGGGTTCCATCCTGACAATGGGGAGATGTTGACTACCTCGCCTGGTCTACAGGAGGTCGTGGGTTGGACCCTGACAATGGGGAGATGTTGACTACCTCGCCTGGTCTACAGGAGGTCGTGGACCCTGACAATGGGGAGATGTTGACTACCTCGCCTGGTATACAGGAGGTCGTGGGTTGGACCCTGACAATGGAGAGATGTTGACTACCTCGCCTGGTCTACAGGAGGTCGTGGGTTCCATCCTGACAATGTGGAGATGTTGACTACCTCGCCTGGTCTACAGGAGGTCGTGGGTTCCATCTTGACAATGGAGAGATGTTGACTACCTCGCCTGGTATACAGGAGGTCGTGGGTTCCATCCTGACAATGGGGAGATGTTGACTACCTCGCCTGGTCTACAGGAGGTCGTGGGTTCCATCCTGACAATGGGGAGATGTTGACTACCTCGCCTGGTCTACAGGAGGTCGTGGGTTGGACCCTGACAATGGAGAGATGTTGACTACCTCGCCTGGTCTACAGGAGGTCGTGGGTTGGACCCTGACAATGTGGAGATGTTGACTACCTCGCCTGCTCTACAGGAGGTCGTGGGTTGGACCCTGACAATGGAGAGATGTTGACTACCTCGCCTGGTCTACAGGAGGTCGTGGGTTCCATCCTGACAATGGGGAGATGTTGACTACCTCGCCTGGTCTACAGGAGGTCGTGGGTTGGACACTGACAATGGGGAGATGTTGACTACCTCGCCTGGTCTACAGGAGGTCGTGGGTTGGACCCTGACAATGGAGAGATGTTGACTACCTCGCCTGGTATACAGGAGGTCGTGGGTTCCATCCTGACAATGGGGAGATGTTGACTACCTCGCCTGGTCTACAGGAGGTCGTGGGTTGGACCCTGACAATGGGGAGATGTTGACTACCTCGCCTGGTCTACAGGAGGTCGTGGGTTCGATCCTGACAATGGGGAGATGTTGACTACCTCGCCTGGTCTACAGGAGGTCGTGGGTTCGATCCTGACAATGGGGAGATGTTGACTACCTCGCCTGGTATACAGGAGGTCGTGGGCTCCATCCTGACAATGGGGAGATGTTGACTACCTCGCCTGGTATACAGGAGGTCGTGGGTTGGACCCTGACAATGTGGAGATGTTGACTACCTCGCCTGGTACACAGGAGGTTGTGGGTTCCATCCTGACAATGGGGAGATGTTGACTACCTCGCCTGGTCTACAGGAGGTCGTGGGTTGGACCCTGACAATGGAGAGATGTTGACTACCTCGCCTGGTATACAGGAGGTCGTGGGTCCCATCCTGACAATGGGGAGATGTTGACTACCTCGCCTGGTCTACAGGAGGTCGTGGGTTGGACCCTGACAATGGGGAGATGTTGACTACCTCGCCTGGTCTACAGGAGGTCGTGGGTTCCATCCTGACAATGGGGAGATGTTGACTACCTCGCCTGGTCTACAGGAGGTCGTGGGTTCCATCCTGACAATGGGGAGATGTTGACTACCTCGCCTGGTATACAGGAGGTCGTGGGTTCCATCCTGACAATGGAGAGATGTTGACTACCTCGCCTGGTCTACAGGAGGTCGTGGGTTCCATCCTGACAATGGGGAGATGTTGACTACCTCGCCTGGTCTACAGGAGGTCGTGGGTTCCATCCTGACAATGGAGAGATGTTGACTACCTCGCCTGGTCTACAGGAGGTCGTGGGTTCCATCCTGACAATGGGGAGATGTTGACTACCTCGCCTGGTCTACAGGAGGTCGTGGGTTGGACCCTGACAATGGGGAGATGTTGACTACCTCGCCTGGCTACAGGAGGTCGTGGGTTGGACACTGACAATGGGGAGATGTTGACTACCTCGCCTGGTCTACAGGAGGTCGTGGGTTGGACCCTGACAATGGAGAGATGTTGACTACCTCGCCTGGTCTACAGGAGGTCGTGGGTTGGACCCTGACAATGGGGAGATGTTGACTACCTCGCCTGGTCTACAGGAGGTCGTGGGTTCCATCTTGACAATGGAGAGATGTTGACTACCTCGCCTGGTCTACAGGAGGTCGTGGGTTCCATCCTGACAATGGGGAGATGTTGACTACCTCGCCTGGTATACAGGAGGTCGTGGGTTGGACCCTGACAATGGTGAGATGTTGACTACCTCGCCTGGTCTACAGGAGGTCGTGGGTTCCATCCTGACAATGTGGAGATGTTGACTACCTCGCCTGGTCTACAGGAGGTCGTGGGTTCGATCACCGACCCTGACGGTGCCTCCGTGACTGAAGCCGCCGTGCGGCTGAGCTGATGGCACAAAGCACTGGACAGCTGTTTGGACGACACACTCGCCTACTCGCTCGCTCACCCGCTCACTCGCCCATTCACCCACTCGCTCACCCGCCCGCTCACCCGCCCGCTCACCCGCTCAACTACGCACTCACCCACTCACTCACCCACTCACTCACCCACCCACCCACCCACTCATCCACCCACTCACTTACCAAATCACCTACGCACTCACCCACCCACCCAACCACTCACTCACCCACCCACTCACCCACCCACCCACTCACCCACCCACTCACCCACTCACCCACTCACCCACCCACTCACTCACCCACTCACTTACCAAATCACCTACGCACTCACCTATGCACTCACCCACCCACTCACCCACTCACCCACCCACCCACTCACCCACCCACCCACTCACCCACCCACCCACTCACCCACCCACCCACTCACTCACCCACCCACTCACCCACTCACCCACCCACTCACCCACCCACCCACTCACCCACCCACCCACTCACCGTATATTTGGAATGCCCACTCCTCCTTGCAGGATCTTGTACAACTTACTCTCGTACAGCAGCTGAGGATGTCGAGCCTTCTGGGATTCCAGCTTCACAGCCACTTCCTACATCACGCAACAAAGACAAAGATCCCCCAGGTAGCCTCTAGCAGCGCTGTAGGGGCAAGTGCTGTTACACACACAGACAAAGATCCCCCAGGTAGCCTCTAGCAGCGCTGTAGGGCCAAGTGCTGAGACACACACAGACAAAGCTCCCCCAGGTAGCCTCTAGCAGCGCTGTAGGGGCAAGTGCTGGGACACAGACAAAGATCCCCCAGGTAGCCTCTAGCAGGGCTGTAGGGGCAAGTGCTGAGACACAGACAAAGATCCCCCAGGTAGCCTCTAGCAGGGCTGTAGGGCCAAGTGCTGAGACACAGACAAAGCTCCCCCAGGTAGCCTCTAGCAGGGCTGTAGGGGCAAGTGCTGAGACACAGACAAAGATCCCCCAGGTAGCCTCTAGCAGCGCTGTAGGGGCAAGTGCTGTTACACACACAGACAAAGATCCCCCAGGTAGCCTCTAGCAGCGCTGTAGGGGGCAAGTGCTGAGACACAGACAAAGCTCCCCCAGGTAGCCTCTAGCAGGGCTGTAGGGGCAAGTGCTGTTACACACACAGACAAAGCTCCCCCAGGTAGCCTCTAGCAGGGCTGTAGGGCCAAGTGCTGAGACACACACAGACAAAGCTCCCCCAGGTAGCCTCTAGCAGCGCTGTAGGGGCAAGTGCTGGGACACAGACAAAGATCCCCCAGGTAGCCTCTAGCAGCGCTGTAGGGGCAAGTGCTGTTACACACACAGACAAAGCTCCCCCAGGTAGCCTCTAGCAGGGCTGTAGGGGCAAGTGTGGAGACACAGACAAAGATCCCCCAGGTAGCCTCTAGCAGGGCTGTAGGGCCAAGTGCTGGGACACAGACAAAGATCCCCCAGGTAGCCTCTAGCAGCGCTGTAGGGGGCAAGTGCTGAGACACAGACAAAGCTCCCCCAGGTAGCCTCTAGCAGCGCTGTAGGGGCAAGTGCTGAGACACAGACAAAGATCCCCCAGGTAGCCTCTAGCAGCGCTGTAGGGGGCAAGTGCTGAGACACAGACAAAGCTCCCCCAGGTAGCCTCTAGCAGCGCTGTAGGGGCAAGTGCTGAGACACTGACAAAGATCCCCCAGGTAGCCTCTAGCAGCGCTGTAGGGGCAAGTGCGGAGACACAGACAAAGATCCCCCAGGTAGCCTCTAGCAGGGCTGTAGGGGCAAGTGCTGTTACACACAGACAAAACTCCCCCAGGTAGCCTCTAGCAGCGCTGTAGGGGGCAAGTGCTGAGACACAGACAAAGATCCCCCAGGTAGCCTCTAGCAGCGCTGTAGGGGCAAGTGCGGAGACACAGACAAAGCTCCCCCAGGTAGCCTCTAGCAGGGCTGTAGGGGCAAGTGCTGAGACACAGACAAAGATCCCCCAGGTAGCCTCTAGCAGCGCTGTAGGGGCACTTGCTAAGACGCAGACAAAGCTACCCCAGGTAGCCTCTAACAGGGCTGTAGGGGCAAGTGCTGAGACACAGACAAAGCTCCCCCAGGTAGCCTCTAGCAGGGCTGTAGGGGCAAGTGCTGAGACACAGACAAAGCTCCCCATGGTAGCCTCTAGCAGGGCTGTAGGGGCAAGTGCTTTTACACAGACAAAGCTCCCCCAGGTAGCCTCTAGCAGAGCTGTAGGGGCAACTGCTGAGACACAGACAAAGCTCCCCCAGGTAGCCTCTAGCAGGGCTGTAGGGGCAAGTGCTGTTACACAAAGCTCCCCCAGGTAGCCTCTAGCAGGGCTGTAGGGGCAAGTGCTGAGACACAGACAAAGCTCCCCCAGGTAGCCTCTAGCAGGGTTGTAGGGGCAAGTGCTGAGACACAGACAAAGCTCCCCCAGGTAGCCTCTAGCAGGGCTGTAGGGGCAAGTGCTCACTCACCCACCAACTCACTCACTCACCCACCCACTCACCCACCCATTCACTCACTCACCCACCCACCACTCACTCACTCACTCACCCACTCACTCACCCACTCACTCACCCACTCACTCACTCACCCACCCTCTCACCCACTCACTCACCCACCCACTCACCCACTCACTCACCCACTCACCCACCCACTCACTCACCCACCCACTCGTTCACTCACTCACCCCCTCACTCACCCACTCACCCACCCACTCACTCACTCACCCACCCACTCACCCACCCACTCACCCACTCACTCACTCACCCACTCACCCACTCACTCACTCACCCACTCACTCACCCCCTCACCCACCCACTCACTCACTCACCCACCCACCCACCCCTCACTCACCCACTCACCCACCCACTCACCCACTCACCCACTCACCCATTCACTCACCCACCCACTCACCCACTCACTCACCCACCCACCCACTCACTCACTCACTCACCCACCCACTCACCCACTCACTCACCCACCCACTCACCCACTCACCCACCCAATCACCCTCTCACTCACTCACTCACCCATCCACTCATTCACCCACCCACCCTCTCACCCACTCACTCACTCACCCACCCACCCACCACTCACTCACCCACTCGCTCACCCACTCACTCACTCGCTCACCCGCTCACTTGCTCACCCACTCGCTCACCCACTCGCTCACCCACTCACTCACCCACTCACTCACTCACCCACTCACTCACTCACCCACTCACTCACCCACCCACCCACTCAACCACCCACCCACTCAACCACCCACCCACTCACCCACTCACTCACCCACTCACTCACCCACCCACTCACCCACCCACCCATTCACTCACTCACCCACCCACCCACTCACTCACTCACCCACTCACCCACCCACTCACCCTCCCACCACTCACCCACTCACTCACTCACTCAGTCACTCACTCACTCACACACTCACTCACACACTCACTCACTTACACACTCACTCACTCACCCACTCACCCACTCACCCACCCACTCACTCACCCACCCACTCACCCACCCACTCACTCACTCACCCACTCACTCACCCACCCACTCACCCACCCACTCACTCACTCACTCACCCACTCACCCACTCACTCACCCACTCACTCATTCACCCACTCACTCACCCACTCACTCACTCACCCACCCACTCACTCACCCACCCACTCACTCACCCACTCACCCACCCACTCACCCACCCACTCACCCACCCACCCTCTCACCCACCCACCTCTCCCGTGGTGATGTTCATGGCCAGGTAGATGTCTCCGAAGGAGCCGCTCCCAATCTTCCTCACCAGTTTGTATTTCCCTCCCACCACGAACTCCGCTCGACCGCTCCCCGCCACCGCTGTGGATGAGCCGGCGGCCGCCATCGTCGGTTGAAGCCACCCACCGCCGCACTTCCGGGGTCGACTCCAGCGGGCGATTCTCTTCGATTTTTTTTTTTAGTCAACTCGCAATTCGATTCCTTTTTGGTGTTAAGTGTAATACTTAACTTAACCCAACGGAAAGCGCGATTCGGAGTCGGTTGAACGACGCGTTGGCGTTGTCGATTCTTTACCTTTGGGGGGGGGGAAATGGGAGGGATTAGGTCGAGTCGCATTCGAGATGTTGATTAGTTTCGGATCGATTCGATTCGTTTGGTTTAAGGCAGCGTTGAGGAATCGGTTAGTAGTGAAATGTTTGCGATTCGATTCCGCTTTGCTTCTGGGCGGCCAGGATACTTCCGGGATTGTCGGGGGGACACCGATTCCGATTTTCGGGTTGTGACGATTAAATGTATCGATTCCTTTGGTGTTGTATTATACGGTTGAGTCTGTTAAGGAATCGATTCCTTTGGTAGAGGCCTATTTTGGAATCGATTGTAGACAAGTTAGCGATTCGATTCATCTTGCTTCTGTATCGCGCCGACACATCCGGGATTATCAAAGACGCCGATTTCGATTACAGGTATTAACGATTAGTCTTGTGACGTCGATTCCTTTGGTTACGTATACGGAAATTGCGATTTGGAATCGGTTACGCGTTAGAGTAGTCGATTTTTTCTTGTACAAAATACGGTTGAGTCTTTAGGAATCGATTACTTGGTGTAGATTCTATTCCTCTGGTTAAGTCTACGGGAGGGTCTATTCAGGAATCGATTGTTGCTTAGTTGGCGATTCGATTCCTTTTCCTGCTGCTCCTGCTGCTGCTGAAGCCTCGCGGCCACTTCCGGGGTTGAGCCAACGACGATTCTCGATTCCCCAGCCCAAAATTCGATTCCTTTGGTTAAGTATACGGAAAGCGCGCTTCGGAATCGGTTACGCGTTGGCGGTGTCGATTTGTTTGGTTGGTCAACTCTTTAGTCTATGAGTAATCGATTATAATTCCAAAGATTCGATTCCTTTGGTTATGCGACATGGAGGGTCTATTGAGGAATCGATTGTTGCAAAATTGGCGATTCGATTTCTCCAACTGAAGCCTCGCGGCCACTTCCGGGATTGACGCCGTCGACGATTCTCCATTCGTGTCGATTAAAGTCGATTCCTAATCGAGAATCGGGAATCGTTGTCAGCAACAACCCCGGAAGTGGCCGCGAGGCATCACTGGCAGCAAGGGGAAATGGAATCGAATCGCCAACTATTGTAACAATCGATTCCTCACTATCCCCAACCATAGACTTAACCAACTGAATCGATTCGACACCAGGTAATCGATTCCTATTCGCACTTTCAGTTTGCTTAACCAAAGGAATCGACTTTGTGTGGAATCGAGAATTGTCAGGCGTCACAACCGGAAGAGACCGTAAGGCTTCAGCAGCAGCAGGTGGAATCGAATCGCCACTTTTAGTTAATCGATTCCTGAATCGACTCACCGACCAAAAAAAAGTTGACGTTCCACATTTACACTCCCCCCTCCCTCCTAGCCCCTCCCCCTCCCTGCTAGCCCCTCCCCCTCCCTCCTAGCCCCTCCCCCTCCCTCCTAGCCCCTCCCCCTCCCTCCTAGCCCCTCCCTCCTGCCACTCCGTCCTAGCCCCTCCCCCCCTCCCTCCTAGCCCCTCCCCCCTCCTCCATCATCCCCAATCCTCTTTCAGGCCTTCCCGCACGTGTGTGTGTGTACACTGTGTGTGTGTGTGTACACTGTGTGTACACTGTGTGTACACTGTGTGTGTGTACACTGTGTGTGTGTGTACACTGTGTGTACACTGTGTGTACACTGTGTGTGTGTACACTGTGTGTGTGTGTACACTGTGTGTGTGTGTACACTGTGTGTGTGTACACTGTGTGTGTGTACACTGTGTGTGTACACTGTGTGTGTACACTGTGTGTGTGTGTACACTGTGTGTGTGTACACTGTGTGTGTGTGTACACTGTGTGTGTGTGTACACTGTGTGTGTGTACACTGTGTGTGTGTACACTGTGTGTGTACACTGTGTGTGTACACTGTGTGTGTGTGTACACTGTGTGTGTGTGTACACTGTGTGTGTGTGTCACTGTGTGTGTGTGTGTACACTGTGTGTGTGTGTACACTGTGTGTGTGTGTACACTGTGTGTGTACACTGTGTGTGTGTACACTGTGTGTGTGTGTACACTGTGTGTGTGTGTACACTGTGTGTGTGTGTACACTGTGTGTGTGTACACTGTGTGTGTGTGTACACTGTGTGTGTGTGTACACTGTGTGTGTGTGTACACTGTGTGTGTGTACACTGTGTGTGTGTGTACACTGTGTGTGTGTGTACACTGTGTGTGTGTGTACACTGTGTGTGTGTGTACACTGTGTGTGTGTGTACACTGTGTGTGTACACTGTGTGTGTGTGTACACTGTGTGTGTGTACACTGTGTGTGTGTACACTGTGTGTGTGTGTACACTGTGTGTGTGTGTACACTGTGTGTGTGTACACTGTGTGTGTGTGTACACTGTGTGTGTACACTGTGTGTGTACACTGTGTGTGTACACTGTGTGTGTACACTGTGTGTGTACACTGTGTGTGTGTGTACACTGTGTGTGTGTGTACACTGTGTGTGTGTGTACACTGTGTGTGTGTGTACACTGTGTGTGTGTACACTGTGTGTGTACACTGTGTGTGTGTGTACACTGTGTGTGTGTACACTGTGTGTGTGTGTACACTGTGTGTGTGTACACTGTGTGTGTGTACACTGTGTGTGTACACTGTGTGTGTACACTGTGTGTGTGTGTACACTGTGTGTGTGTGTACACTGTGTGTGTGTGTACACTGGTGTGTGTGTACACTGTGGTGTGTGTACAACTGTGTGTGTGTGTACACTGTTGTGTGTGTACACTGTGTGTGGTGTGTGTACACTGTGTGTGTGTGTACACTGGGTGTGTGTGTACACTGTGTGTTGTGTGTACACTGTGGGTGTGTGTACACTGTGTGTGTGTGTAACACTGTGTGTGTGTGTACACTGTGTGTGTGTGTGTACACTGTGTGTGTGTGTACACTGTGTTGTGTGTGTACACTGTGTGTGTTGTACACTGTGTGTGTGTGTACACTGTGTGTGTAGTGTGTAGTGTGTACACTGTGTGTGTGTGTGTAGTGTGTACACTGTGTGTGTATAGTGTGTACACTGTGTGTGTGTGTACACTGTGTGTGTGTGTACACTGTGTGTGTGTGTTGTACACTGTGTGTGTGGTGTACACTGTGTGTGTGTTACACTGTGTGTGTGTAACACTGTGTGTGTGTACACTGTGTTGTGTGTGTACACTGTGTGTGTGTACACTGTGTGTGTGTACACTGGTGTGTGTGTACACTGTGTGTGTGTACACTGTGTGTGTGTACACTGTGTGTGTGTGTACACTGTGGTGTGTACACTTGTGTGTGTACACTGTGTGTTGTGTACACTGTGTGTGTGTGTACACTGTGTGTGTGTACACTGTGTGTGTGTGTACACTGTGTGTGTGTGTACACTGTGTGTGTGTGTACACTGTGTGTTGTACACTGTGTGTGTGTACACTGTGTGTGTGTGTACACTGTGTGTGTGTGTACACTGTGTGTGTGTGTACACTGTGTGTGTGTACACTGTGTGTGTGTACACTGTGTGTGTGTACACTGTGTGTGTGTAACACTGTGTGTGGTGTACACTTGTGTGTGTACACTGTGTGTGTGTACACTGTGTGTGTGTACACTGTGTGGTGTGTTGTACACTGTGTGTGTGTACACTTGTGTGTGTGTACACTGTGTGTGTGTGTACACTGTGTGTGTGTGTACACTGTGTGTGTGTACACTGTGTGTGTGTGTACACTGTGTGTGTGTGTACACTGTGTGTGTGTGTACACTGTGTGTGTGTACACTGTGGTGTGTACACTGTGTGTGTGTGTACACTGTGTGTGTGTGTACACTGTGTGTGTGTACACTGTGTGTGTGTACACTGTGTGTGTACACTGTGTGTGTACACTGTGTGTGTGTACACTGTGTGTGTGTGTACACTGTGTGTGTCACTGTGTGTGTGTGTACACTGTGTGTGTGTGTACACTGTGTGTGTGTGTACAC